TGATACATTCCACAGAGTCTTTCGGGAGTTTGCCTTCTGCAACTTTAAGAAAGAAGATCTGTGCCTGTTGGAGCCCTTTAAATGCCCAGCATGCACACCAGACATGCTGGCTATATCTGGAGACGGTAATAGAAAACATTACCGGTTCAAGAAGTCAAAGGGGTAAGTTTATTTATTTATTTAGATTTATTATTTAGATTTAGATTTATTTAGTCGTGCAGTGGTCTTTTTGTGTAGCCCTGCAATAGAGTGGCAGATATGTCCATGCTGCACATCACCTCTCACCCAGTGCATGATGGGATAGGCTAGACCCCCCATGCCATTGCCCTCTAAAGGAAAAGCAAGTATAGCTATTGGTTGGATGGACTGGTAGTTATTTATAGAGAAACTATGCTTCACCTTATTGCTGTAAAAACTAACAATAATTTTGTGGCATCTAAACATATTTCTTCGACACAAAAATGGTGGCTCTAGTCATTATATAATTATACTTTTATTTGAAAGTATGTGTGATTGCTTCACATTTAAACTTAAATGCTTTTACAATTTAAAAAGTCTTTGAAAGATATAACACTGTTTTAAACAAGCTTGTGATATTACAGTTCTATGACAACAATCTGGTAAATTGTTCAGGAACTTGTTCTCCCTTCTGTAGCTTGAAGACATGAACAACAATAAAGGTTTTTTTTTTTTTTTTTACTTTAAACAGTATGTTTTTTACTTCTTACACAAGTTAATGCCAAATTACAGCATTCATTTCCACGGGACAAATACATGCTGATACTCTAAACACAGTGTTCCAGATCAAATGTAGTTCATGCACAGACTAAAATGTGTGCAGGCACCTTTATGGTTAATTGTCATATTGATTTAGGTGAATGCAACGTTTAATTATGATTATGTTATTGTTTTGGCGATGAATTCCTCTCATTTAACAGGACAGACGAACCATCTCTTTTTGATGGACTGTTCATCGCACAAGATGCCCAAGTATCTGCCTTTGTTGACCAAATAAGAAGCCAGATGTTAAGTGTAAGGATTTCTTCAACTCTGTAACCCTTCTTTAATTTAATTTAATTTTTTACTTGTCCTGGGATTACATGTAACATATTGTTTCTACTTTCAGAGGACAGGTCATGATGTCTGCTTTACAGCAGGCAGAGAAATATCCCAGAAGTCCAGGGCCAAGGTGGATGAAGAGGGCCTTGAAATAGCTGTGTGCAGACATGGACTCTTGCTGCAAGGCTTGAATCCCTACCGTGGTGAAATATATGCCGACCCTATGTTCCTGCAGAAGGAGCTGGCAGCTCCGGAAGAGATTCATACCCACTGCCTAGAATTGAAGAATCTTTAGATGCGTTGAGTGGAGCGTGTTGGTTTTCCACCCTGGACCTGGCAAGCGTATACAATCAAGTGGCAGTGGCAGAAAAGGATAAACAAAAGACTGCTTTTTGTACACCGTTAGGCCTGTTTGAATATAATCGTTTACCATATGGTTTGTCCAATGGGCCAAGTACTTTCCAACGTCAGATGGAACGGATATTCAGTGATGAAAGTTTTCAGTCAGTGCTCGTGTATTTGGATGATTTGATTGTGTTTTCGTCAACAGTGGACCAACACCTGGAGAGATTGGAGAAAGTCTCCAAAAAAATGTCAGCATCATGGTCTCAAAGTTAAGCTCAGTAAATGCTGTTTTTTTTTAACAAGAGGTATGTTACTTGGGTCATGTCATTTCTAGTGACGGGGTGGCAACAGACCCTGAGAAGATTCAAGCAGTAGCAGAATGGGCGAAACCTCAGACAGCAAAAGAGCTTAGATCTTTTTTGGGATTTGCAAGCTATTACAGACATTTTGTGCAAGGATTCGCCAGGATTGCAGCACCACTACATCAGTTGGCTGCTATTGGGGAAATGCCAAAGGGTAAGAAGCAAAAGAAAAGAGTTTATTTCACTAGTGAACAATTCAGACAGAGGTGGGATGACAAATGTGAAGAAGCTTTCCAAACACTGAAAAGGAAATTAACATCTGCTCCTGTGTTAGCTTATGCTGATTTCACTAAGCCTTTTCTTCTTGAAATAGATGCCAGTCATACAGGACTCGGAGCGGTGCTCTCCCAGGACGTGGGAGGTAAGCAGAGGCCAGTGGCCTATGCTAGTAGAGGTCTGAGGGAGTCTGAACGTAATATGGATAACTGCAGTACAATGAAGCTGGAGTTTCTTGCCCTTAAATGGGCAGTAACAGAAATTTTGGGACTATTTAATTGGCAATAAGTTTACAGTGTTTACAGATAATAACCCTATGAGTCATTTGAAGACTGATAAATTGGGGGCTGGGGAGCAGCGATGGGCTTCGCAGTTGTCCATGTTCGATTTTGTAATTGTGTACCGTCCTGGGAAGAAGAATGGAAATGCAGACGCCTTGTCTCGACAAAAGTCGGTAGGAGGACGACAGCTGGCCGTGTCAGAGGGAGTGACTCCCACATTCAATGATGGTTGTGGACTGGAGGATGGAGACAATGGGAGTAATTTACCTCAATCTGTAACTACAGTGGATGTTATTTCTGTTTTCCCTGAATTTCAGACACAAGATCTGCAAAGTTGGCAAGAACAGGATCCTGCTATTTCCCGGTTCAAGTTCTACTGGAGTAAGGGGGAAAGGCCAGGTAAGAAAGAAAGAAAATGGAGTCAAAAGATGCACTGGAGCTGTTAAGGCAGTGGGATAAAGTGGGAGCTCATGAAGGCATCTCTTATAGAGTCATTGCAGATGCAAGAGGGGGCTGGGTAAAACAGCGTCTCTTACCTCAAGTCTTAAAGCAAGAAGTCCTTGGTCAGCTGCATGACCATCAAGGTCATCAGGCGATTGACCGAACGTTTAAGCTAGTACGTCAACGGTTTTATTGGCCCGGGATGTACCAGGATGTTCAGGAGTTCTGCAAACATTGTTTTTGATGTATTGTGTCTAAGGATGTTCAGCCTAAAGTAAAAACAGCGATGAATAGCATTCAAGCATCTAAACCCTTGGAGGTTGTGGCATTGGATTTTACGTTGATGGAACGTTCCCAGAGTGGAAAAGAAAATGTGCTTGTTATAACGGATGTATTTTCTAAATTCACAGTAGCCGTACCTACAGCTGATCAGAGGGCCATAACAGTGGCAAAAGTGCCTGTCAAGGAGTGGATTCATCGATATAGAGTCCCAGCCCGGATTCATTCTGACCAAGGACGGTGCTTTGAGGCTGAAGTCGTGCAGCAGTTGTGTAGAATGTATGGCATACAGAAGAGCCGAACAACAGCATTTCACCCCCAAGGTAACGGGCAATGTGAACGTTTTAATATAACTTTACATGATCTCCTCAGGGCCCTTCCTTCCGAAAAGAAAATGAGATGGGATGAATATTTGCACGAAGTATTGTTTGCACAGAGACAGAGACGGTTGCAGAGTTTGGCCAAGTAGAGACAAAGACAGCAAGGGGTGATCAAAGATGCCAGTTTGAATCCAGATTTGGAGAGTGAGAGTATATATATAATTTTTTTTTAAAGTGTTAGCCCACAGATACATTTATGAGGGTTTATTTAATTTATTGCAATCAACAAATGATAACAATTAGTAAAACCACAGTTAAAGCTTTGCAATGTGCAATTTATATGACGAGTTAAAGTTTGCTGTACTTTATATAGGCCTACATGAAGTGAATGCCAGCAATCATTCAGTCAGTGATGAATTAATAAAAACATTATGAACTTAAGGAAACGACACACAATTGTAGTTTAAGTTCACGCTGAAACTATATTGACCTTTTTTGAAATAATCCATTAAACCTGCTGAGAAACGAGGAGCGTGAACTAGAATGAGAAGTTGCACGCGCATGCCCGGGGAACTCATGAATATTAATGTAGGCTCCGCCCACTTCCTCTACAGATGCACAAGTCACTTTTGCACCACATTTCACGGTGCACTTGGTGCAAAAGGGAGAGCGCGCGAAACAGTGTTTGAGATTTGTCGCAGCAGATTCAAGCAGCTGTAGTTATGTACTTGTGTTTGTGCTAGAAAAATATACAAGACATTTGTGAGAAAATATTCTACAAGTGTGCAACTCTCATTGGATGAGTTCACATACTGATTTGCAGATGAGCCACATTTCTCTGTGACTTCACATTCTTTGATGCAGGTGTGTAAATGCCTTTTGCACCATATTCACTGCAGCAACTGTAGCAAAAATGTGAGCGTATGAGTTTCTTAATTTGTGATTTGTAGAAAAGGATTTGTGCACCTGCAATTTACTGATACACATGTGTGGCTATTCTCTACAACTACAAATCTCACTGTCACAGGCATTCAGTAGTTTTGCACCAAAAATATCTTCATAAGTTTCTCCTGCTCGTTCTTCTCTTGTATGTCAAGAATATTCCCAGCATATTTTATTTAATAATCTCCGTGGCCGATTTAACCAGCTCCAAAACACATCACTCTCCCGTTTTAACAGGGTTACACACTTGACAAAAAATAAATAAATAACTTAACTTTGAGGACCATTAACGTAATCAATAATACAGAACTTACAACTAGCTCTTAACTATCTCTATGTCTTCTTTTTCGTCTCTCTCTTTTGCGTTTTCTCTTTTAGTCCCGCCCCCTCAAAAACCCAGGAGGTTCCCAAACTGCTCTCTGATTGGATAATAAACAAAACTGACACCTGGCCACCCAATACAAAAGAAAATGACCAGGGAGGTTCAAGGGCTACTCACAACAGAGGATATTTCAACACCTCACAATTTATTAACACATAATAATACAAAAACAAAAAAGAAAAGGTGTTACCAGGGACAATTGAACTGGCCCATATTTCAGGACACAGCTACTATATTTCTGTTAGCAGAACACAAAAGAAACAATATATACATTTAGCAGGGTGCTACATCAATAATATTCTTGTTCTCCAACTTATAAAACACAAATCTTGTGGCATTTCACAGCAACACTAGTTTATTAGTTAACACATTTACTTTATGTGAATCTAACAAAACATTTGCTCACTGTGACACAGAACAATGCTTTCTAATATGTTTCCCTAGACTACTTGATTGGGTGAAACTCTTCCCACACTGAGTACAGTCGTACGGCTTCTCTCCAGTATGAACTCGCTCGTGTAATTTCAGGTATCCAGCCTGAGTGAAACTCTTGTCACAATATGAGCACTTGTAAGGTTTTTCTCCAGTATGAATTCTTTGGTGCTGTTTCAGATATTTAGATCTAGTAAAGCTCTTCCCACAGTCACAACACACATGATCTCTCACTTCATTATGTGTTTTCTGGTGCTGTTTAAAACTGCCCAGCCATGAAAAACTCTTTCCACAGAGAGAACACACATAAGGCCTCTCATCTGAATGAACTTTTAGGTGATCTTTTAGTTTTGATGATGAAATAAAATCTTTACCACACTGATCACAGTTAAATGGTTTTTCTCCAGAGTGAATGCGCAGATGAACACTGAGATTTGATGCATGAGAATAACTCTTTCCACACTGAGTGCATGTATACGGTTTCTGTCCAGTGTGAATTCTCATGTGTATGTTAAGGTTTCCTTTCTGTGAGAAACTCTTTCCACACTGAGTGCAGGTGTGCGTCTTTTTGGCTTTTGTTCTTTGAATTTTAAAGTTACGATGTTCCTCCTCCACTTTATTCAGTTCTTGTCTTTGCTCTTTCACTCTCACCTGGTCTAAAATACACAGAAATACAGTTAGAATCAGTTCAAGTGAACCCTTATTTAATAGCAGAAAGCAACAGAGATCAGATCTTTCACTTTTTGTTCTCTCATTCATTGTTAATATAGTAAAAATATGTTTGACAACTGCTATATACACGGTTATGATAATTTGGATGTACATCATTTTTCATCCATATACTGCTTATTAATTCACATCTACCAAAACATCAACAATGAAGAATCAAGAATGGACACCAACCTATTTGTTCCTCAGTATCTTCATGTTTTATTCTGGATGGTTCTGGATCACTCATGTCTTCAATCTCCTCTTTAATAAACTCCATCTTTAACAGTCACACAGATTTCAGCTGCTACTCCTGGAGTTTGTCCTTCTCTTGTAGGATGATGGGAATATTCCCAGTATTTATTGGTGAATTGTTGTGGGAGGGGCTTCACTGCAGGTGTGAACTGTGATCACTGTGTTTTTATCCAATCTGCATTTAAAAAGTACAGGAACATCATGTTAAACTGAGCAGCTGAAAAACCTCTTTGTCTCCAAAAGTTCCCTGTTTTCAGCTCATTCATTATGGTGATGTCTGAGATCTTCAGTAAATTTGCACATTAAATCGTTTTATTGGTGTCAACAGGCTGAAAAAAAACTACAGCATCATCACACTTGAGTTCTTGTCTTTGCTCTTTCATATTAACATATTAAGTTGTTAGAATGAGTTCTGGAGGATAAATGTGAATTTTCAATTTTCAATATCAACCAAAATTTGAAGAAACTGTAACCAAGTACTGTAAAAAAAAAAAAAAAAAATAAAATCAGCATAATATAGAAATTAATGTATAAATAACAACCGATCTTCATGTTTGTCTACAAGACATTTAACTGACTGATGAATAAAATGCTCTTATGCTCTAGGAACAATATAATGAAAATGAATAAAACTAAAATCTAAAATAATGCAGTTCTGACAGCATCTTTATTTAATCTACAGTTGAATAAATATGTAAGGGATAATGTATAGCGAGGCGGTTGTTATAGCAAATGCCACCCCGACAGATTATGAGCCGACGCGAAGCGGATGGGTCTTGAATAAGCCTGAAGGGTTTGTATTCGCTATAACAACCGCCTCGCTACATTATCCCGCTTATTACATGGCTACCTACCAAATAAATCAATAATTTGACACAAAATATTGATTTAAAAAGGAGTTTATTGATTTAAAACGATTGTATTGCTTCCGCTAAAGAAAATAGTCCGTTCCGTCTCTGAATTGCGTCCATGGCAACGCTTTGTTTTTCACCAACATACTTGTGTCTGATATCAAGAAATAACAGACCGCATTCTACATTGGAATTCTACCAAGCCATGTAATAATTAAAAATAACAGTGTATTATTCCTAATGAAAAATAGCATGGAATATCAGGAAGCATGTTAAAATTAGGGTTAAATATGTTGTAAGATGTTATTTTATAATCTACTTAATTAGAAAAGCAGAACATAAATTGATGACCAAAGTGATTAATAAGGTAAATCCTTCATGTATGTATTGAAAATAAACTTTGCTCAGACAAATTACACGATATTCTCGGCACTGTAGTGCAATAGAAATGTAGTCATGTGCTTGTAATGATGATTACTCATATTATAATTATACCTAAACACTAAATATTAAACGGACATATATGAATTTCGCATTTGTTTACAAAAGATCCTCACGCTGTCCACTGCCATGTTGCTGCCGCAAACGTGTTCAGAACTGTAGTAAACATCTACCGTACTGCGCATGCGAGTGTCGCATTGAGCAGCAAACACTCCGATTCTTCCTCCAGGAGGCGCTGAATGACTCCAAAAACCGAAACCTTATAGACCAAAATACCCTTTTGTAGTTCATTCTACAAACAAAGTATTATAGTTTAAATATAGTAAGGCCAAATAACCAACAAAAAAATCCACAAGATAAATCTCCAGTGATGCATTAAAACACACACAGTAAGAAAACAAACACAGTTTGAACCGTGTGATTAAACTATTTATGGAGATAGTTTCCTCTAAATCAGAAAAAATCAAACCATTCTCTTTTTTGGCATTCCACAGAAAGTAAAGGGACAAAAGTAGAATTTGACTCTCAGAGAATACATAATGCTTTTATTAATTTTTGTTTGTTTGTTTAATTTATTTATTAGAAAAGGGACCATGTAGCCTACAATTAATAACATAGGCCTACATGTTTCCATTTAATGCATTTATTTGAAAACGTATTTTCCATTGCACAACAAACAAAGCAACTTTTTAAATAATGTGAGCAGCAGGTCTTTCTTTATACATTTACATCTAGACACAGCTTCATTTTACCATTAAAACTTTATAAAATACTGGACATGCTGAGGTGTTTTGGTGTTTATTTTATTGAGCTATTCATTTTTATTATTGGATTTTTTGAGGGACAATGTGCAATTTTTTATCTTTATAGTTATGATATATGGTTTCTTTCCACTGTGAATTATGTGATTTGGTTCCCTTTTTGCACAAAACTCTTTTCACACCGAGAAAGTGAAGTGGTTTCTTTCTTCATTTAGTTCTTCTTCCCTTTCCACCTTTACTTCCATCAAGTCTAAAAATGAACATATTAAATCATCTAAATTAAATCAAATACAAAAGCAAAAAGTAACAACAGTTTATGTAATCTTTGATATGATATAATATATACGATGAAAAATGTTCCTCAGTAGTCAGTAATAATGAAGAATCAAGAATGTTTGTTCTTCAGGATTTTGTTTCATTTTGCATGTTTCTGGATAACTAACGTCCTCATTCTCCACTTTAACAAACTCCATAGTATGCTGAGCACCCTCGGCTTTGTGAAAGAGGGCCAAAGACCTGTCATCCACAGCCAAGCCAGGCAGAATCTCCTGCAGTCAGCCCAGGGATGGGAAATGGAGGTTGATCTTGGGAGGAAACTCCACTTCCCCGAGGTGGTGTTGTCCACAACGCTAAGGCCAGACATCATCATGTGGTCTCCAGAGGGAAAAAAAGATCATTCTGGTGGAGTTGACGGTGCCGTGGGAGGAGGGCTGTGAGGAAGCTGCAGAGAGAAAAAAAGCCAAATACCAGCAACTTGTTCAAGACTGCCGGGACAAAGGGTGGACGGCGTGGCTGATGACGGTGGAAGTCGGATGTCGGGGATTCCCCGCTCAATCTGCATGGAATTTATTAACAAAGGTTGGATTGAGGGGCCACTTAAGGAAAGCAACCATTCGTAGGCTGGGAGAAGCGTCAGAGAGAGCCTCCTGTTGGCTCTGGCACAAGAGAGAGGACATAAGCTGGAAGCCTGGAAGAGAGCGGCAGTGACCTGGCCAGTCACTGCTGACCCGCCAGCTGGAGGGTGTTGTGGTTAAGGGTCGAAACACCCAGTGAAGGTTGAGGACCACCTGATGACCTCTCTCCCAGGCCAAGGCTTCATCCATTAGAAATGGGTGTATGGTAGCATCGCAGATGTATTATACAACTGAACTCCCTGGGCAACCAGTGACTTCCAGGAAAGTCTGGATGGCAACCGAGGAAGGTCGGTGACGCTGGAGAGACAGCTGACCTCCAGGAAAGACTGGCGGGGTAACAGGGGCCAGCAACCCCTGTTGCAGCACTCGCAAGAGGGCACCAAGCAAGCTACAGAATTAACAAATGAGCAATACCCCCAGAGTCTCCCGAGAGGGGGGGAGGATGAGAGACTCACCAGGACAGATTTAAGGCTAACGACACGGACAGTGACACAGACGCAGAGAAGGCTTAGACAAACCACCTTGACCGGGGAGGCACCGGAAGTTAAATGCAGCTGCGGAAGAATCTGCAAAGGCGTAAGAGGGCTCAAAATACACCAGAGCAAGTCCACGTGTGGACAAGGTCGGATGCATGTACACCGCTCAGACGAACCGTCTGGTGAGACGCAGGAGAACCCTAGGCAGGAAGCACACCATAGTCCTAGTGATCCCTCAGTGCCGGCAATCCACCAAGATCGCACAAGGAGAGCCTCCAACGCCATTCCAGAAAGCCCACCCCAGCCAACAAAGGAAATAATTAATTGGCCCAAAATGAGTGAAGGGAAGGGGTGGTCCATGTTAGATGAAGATCTAGACAAAGTGCTTGGAGCAGTTCAAGCAGGATCAGCAGAAAGGAAGGTGGATTTACTGACAGCCATCACCTACAATTTGGCAAAGGAACGGTTTGGAACAGTCCCAGCCGGCATATGACCGACCTTCAACGTTGAAATATGGTTGAAATAATGTCAGTTGTTGTTTCAACGGTGAAACAACGTTGATATAACGTTTAATGCTAAATGGTTGAAAAATGTTAACAAAAACACTTCTAAATCAACGTTGAAATTTTTACATGATCTGTACGTTGAAACAACGTAATGTTTTCAACGACATACAACATAAATATCTGCCTTATAAAGTATTATTATGATCATTATTAGCATTTAATGATATTCTGATAATACCGTCTTTCAATGGATATGTTAAAATATAATTATTATCTTTATAGACAACTCTCCAATAATAATTTCAACCTCAAGCTGAAACTTTTTGCTTTATGTGATTTTGTGTGGATTTACAATACTGTGTGCTTGCCTAACAGTTTACCATGCATTTTTTATTCATGAAAACACCATCTGACCAATTAAATAGACTGCAAATAAACTAAATATACACATTTCGCTACGTAACCACGCTGAAAATACTGTTATTGGTTGTTTCACCGGTGTACTTCATGATTGGTTAATCTTTCTGTCTTCCAGGAAACTAGCCAATGACAATATGCGCGCATATTTTAAGTTTAAAAATACGTCCGTTACTGATTGAGTCGGTGTGTGAGGTGAGCACGAGAGCTCAATTTGGAACATCGAAGCTTGATTGGAGGACAGTGGTTGTCCATCACACAAAGGCGGTGACTAGAACTGGATTCTATTGGCTCAGACGGTCCAGACACTTGCGCATGCGCGAAGTG